TCCGAGGACTCCTCATCTCTCCTCCTCTCTCTCTATATCACTCTCTTTCTCTCTCTCTCTCTCCCTCTGCAAGGACGCGTAGTCGGGGGATCTGCCGTTAATTCGCTCCATTTGAAATCGAATCGAAAGCTATTCCGCAGATAGATTACCTTCGTATGCAGCCCGTACGCTCGAAAGAATGTTGAATAGAAGGGAATAGAATCGTTAGAGCGAACACGCTGCGCTTTGTCCCACTCGATGCAGGAACGGAGGAGATGATCGTGTTACATCTCGGGAAGAATTTTGGTTTCTGTATTCTTTGTATAGAAGAAGAATATACCCGTTATATTGAGGTCACGAGATCTCTTTTCCATTAAGAATCGATATTGCCCATTAAGGGCAGCATCGATGATGCTCGACAAGTCGAAGTGAAAGGCAGAATTTGCGTGGGTACAATAATCTTTCTCTGAGAATCAGGCAGGAAGTTTTATCCCGCATGAAAGTATCAAAGAATATTAAATTTAACGCATCGCCGACAAAATTGGATGTCAATCTCGTCTTCTGTTTCATAACGTTTTAATTTTACATATCAAACGCTTCGGCAAACGGTTTCATATTAAATTCCGCGAAGGTAAAACAATTTACGAGGAATCAATCGAAGGGAAGAGGGGAGGGGAGGGGAGGGGAGGGGAGGGGAGGAATTCTGAAGACGACCTTTTCATCACGTTCGAAATCGTTAAAACTTCAGTCGTTTATAATGGAAACGTTATCGATATCTTATTATTAATACAACCATCACTCTTCCTTTAATTTACCCCCGTAATAACTTCAGGCAAGACGCTCGTTTTTTAGAATGCCGTATTTGCGCGAGTATAGGCAAAAGCCTCCGACATATCACGAACATCGGAATTTCCCTTAACGTATATACGTTATATAATCGATGCGCGATGTCGTACGTCGCTCGGCGTGTCACGAACGAAGTGGAGCGAGGAGATCTACGGGATTGCACGTGGAAAGATCAAGGTCGATTAGCCGATCGTTTCGTTCTCGGATGTCCCGAGAAATTGATGGTCGCTCGCAAACTACGTCGATGAAACGCCTACCTTCGGTTCATGCTCGCGCTCCATGCGCTTCTCTCTCCCTCTCTTCC